GTCTTGTGGGGGCAGAGATATTTCCGGTTACCCAAGCCGAGGAAGTGGGTTGACTTAAAGGACCCCACCCCGAGCATTTGGTTATAAAGACCTGACCCGCAAGGCAGCGGGATGATTAATGGAGACATCCGGGTAGCTGATTCGCCTTCTTTGTGTTCACTAGCAGTTCACAGAGAAGCCGGTGGCCAACAAAGTTGTTCGTTCGCCCTCCGTTAGGTACTCACTTCTGGTTGCAGAAGTGAGTAGTCAGTGACTCTATAGCCGCTCACATTGGCTTTGACACAGAGCCGAACGAGCTCTTGATGGAGAACCAGGTGGCCAGCCCAGGACTGCCCACGCTCTGAGACGCTGCCAGATTGTGCGCGACTGCTTATTCAGCTCGCCTGCAAGACAAACGAGATTTATTCGCAGTTACCTCCACAAGTAAGGTGTTACCCGATCCGCAACCTGGGGACGCGCCCGATAGCGTACAGTTCGGCCATGAGAACAAGGAAATGTACAGAAAACAGATGAATTTTTGGCTTACTGAGAGGGAACGAAAGGCACATTAGCTAAAATCACGAACATAGTCTAAGGACTGAAGATGATCGTCAGTAGTTAGAATTAACTTGTAGTACAGGTAAGCGGCAACGTCAGAAAAGTGAATGTCGATATCGGTTAGTAGGCTCTCAGCGACAAGTGAATTTTTCTGCAGTGATTCACACTCGAAGTGCGCGAAATGAACAAGAGATGAAGGCCATGGATCAAAGTTAAAGTAAGAAGTGTATGACTGCTATAGAGGATAGCAATAATAATGTTGCACTCAATCGTACAAGAAGTGTCCCATACGTCATGATCAGGTGGGTGCAAAATGGACGATACCGGTAAGTCAATAGAAAGATAGATATGAAATAAAAGGAAACAATAGTCACATATTAGAGGCAAAGCGAGAGGTATGGTAATAGAGATCAAGTGAAATAATACGGCCATCCGTGAAACCGTCGCAGTGGGACATTTCTGGAGCAGTAAAACAGTTCCAGAGAGCTAGATGAGATCCAGATATTCTAAGGGTGTAGAATTAGGCACATAATGACTGTCTTGTAGAGGCCGTCTCCTTCTGCATGAAGACAATGTTCGCCCGATAACTTGTGGTGCATCGCAAGTAGCCCATACATGAGGCAGTGGCCGAATGGATGAGGCGTCTGCGTTGTGCCCCTGGTTCGATTCCGTTTAAGTACTGCGACCTTGCAACGTCCTTAGCTCATGTTCCACTAGTAGTGGTAGCGTGACAGCGAAGCATCCGCACGAAGTGCCAACATGCAACTGATGCTTTTGTCCTAAGTTCACATACGATAAAGTATAATAACCAACAGTAAGGACATGCTAAAGATAAAAACCACTCATCGTTTCCATTTGATCAACCTGTCATTTTTGTTATCTTCAGCTGCATTTTTCAGAAGATGGTCCACTTAAATTCTAAAGAGAATCGGAGAGGCAGGAGTTCCCACGCACCAAGCCACACACTCTCAAGAAATCAATTAGCCTTTTGTTTTTACCGGACGCTGTTTGCAACATATTGGGACGGATTGATGTGTTAGCCTATAAGGTCATATTGGACGACTACCTTATAGTTTAGTACAATAACGATGAACGTTTATCATGGGCAAGAGAGATATTGGATTGTTCAGGCAGTAAAGCGTGCTTCTCATTTCAGATCAGATAATGTTCCGCAGCCGTGTTCAGCGAAATGATCGTTCCCACACAGGGGTTGTATACTGCCTGTCAGTAAATATGTCAATTTATTTTGATTATTCATATTTGATGATGTCAACACATGGAAGGGGCTTTTGCGGGAGTCGGTAATTTGTCAATGTTTTCCACTTGAGGCATTTATAGACGTAAAGTGGTACTGGTTTGGCGTATAAGCAAAGTAAGTGCGAAGCTGTGTCACGTCCACATATATGACCATCGTTTACTGGAAAAAAATTGATAGTTTGGTCGCTATTGCGGTCAAATTTCGCATTTGATAAGAACACCGGGTTAGAAGTTCAGAAGTCCACAAGTTTGTGTTCGGCAACAAATCTTCTGGAGCCGCTCCAGCTCACACCTCTGGAACTAGGCAGGCTACATTAACTGCATCATGCATTCCACTATCTGTCGACTGACTGACTCGGCGTGTAACCATTATTTATCCTACACCCGCACGCGTGAGGTTTCGGGATTGCCAACAGCTGATTTACCAAAAAAAAGTTGCCTTTGACCCGGTAGCTTAGGGGTAGCGGTGACAACCAGCATCCCAATGGTCCCGAGTTCGATGCCTGCTAACTCTATCTGATGAGATGCAATAACATCGAAACGCGTCATGGTAGTGCAGTGTTTTCGGGCGGGCAACACCCAATTTCTATTTGCATCAGCTACGGTCCTCGTGATCGAAAGACCAAGGTTCACTTCAATGGGAATCGCGGTCAACATTGAGATTGCGCGTCGCAATCCATCCATACATCGTGTACTTCAAAGTGACCCACAACGCCTAAAGATGTTATCGAGAAACATGATTAGCCTGGTGCCTATTTCCTCCCAGAATTGGGTATACGTGATGGTTTGCCCCAATGAGGCGGAATCCTTCGTTCCATGGTAGTTTATGATATCAGGTGTCTTCAAATCTTAACTAAATTGTTCTTACTAGTCATAAGCTCAACCAAACGAGTAACCCTTTGTATTATTTTTCCTTCAGGTCCCATTCACGTGTATTTGCGTCCATTTTGTTCTTCATTTTCTCTGTTGTTGGTAAGCATTACTTTTGTGTTGTCGTAAATGATGGCAAATAGGCGCATACGCCGCGCAACATCGGGGGCAAGGCCGGTAAGCTAAAATGAAATGGTACAGGGAAACAGGGCCTCAGTAGTTCGGAAAATCGGTGAACACCCAAAGTTTTGACCACCTGTGTCGAGTGCTCGGTACATTCGGTTCAGCAGTTTCTTCTCTAATGACCAATTTCTGCATACAACATCGTACAAACGGCTCTGTCCAGGTCATGATGTTTTGGCATAGGTGTTATCTCACCTCAAAAAAAGATAAACAAAAGCTGAGAGCAACGATTTTGGTAGCTGATTTCTAACGCCTTTCTTTTAGGTTCAACCATTGCTTCTCTATTTAGACGTAAGATTGCAATGCACGAGAAATTATTCTGGCCAACTGCTGAGCAAGCTAATGCTTACCAGTGGTAATGGATATTCCAGCAAACCGATAGTCGTAGACTTTGCCATCTATCAGAACCCCACGTCCAACTCCCTGTGATTCGTTGTGCGGTTAAGGATACCGTGTGGACGAAAAAGGATGCTTTAAGTATTAACAGCATGAGGACAAATAAGATGGGTCTTGGTGTCATGGATCAGGTTTCCTTAGTGACGTCATGAAGAGGATCAGAACGAAGGCTCTGAATTTCTGTGTGCAGCACCGATCACATTTAGTAACAATACAGACATCCAGTATTTGTCGTGTCTGCAGCACACCAACGGGAATCGCACACCGTTTATGCAGATCCACAGAAATCGGCCTGAGAATTTTAGCGGGATTTAAAATATCTTGTGCGTGTAGAACGACGTCCGAAGTTAGTACGAGCAAGAAGTGTCCAGCGATATCTTGTAGATTACATTAGGTGCCTCATCTCTACCTTGATAAGCTATGATGAGACAGATATGCAATACTAGCAACCATCGACCACATATTTGTGGGCGAGCAGTCTCATTTATATGCTTAAGTAATGGGATATCTTTTTATCCACAAACGCCGGACTATTATCAGTTTGGAAAGCGAACGGGTCTGTATAAGTATTCGTAAGGTACAATTTGGAAGATTATGACTGAATTAAAAAGAGAATTGTGTGAAGCTAAGCAGTGAGTCCGCTGAAATAAACTCGCGGAAGCGTCAGTTAGCGGTCCATGATATCCGGTTTCAGGGGCCAGAGTAAAAGTAATAGGTTACCCACCGTTGGTGGTTCGGTGTTGCTCTTCCCAACCCTGAGACCCCATGACCGGTTTCGTCCTCCTTTGGACTCATCAGATGGAGATACCCTGAGCTAGGGTGGACCTCGAGGTATAGTGTTCAAAGGTTGACGCCCTGACCACTATGGCTCCTAGGTCCGCGAGCAACGCGGTCCACCCCAGCTCAGGGTATCTCCATCTGATGAGTCCAAAGGAGGACGGAACCGGTCATGGGGTCTCAGGGTTGGGAGGAGCAACACCGAACCACCAATTAGGTTATCCACCAGTTTCACTAAGGATTAATGTCGTCGAATGCACCTATTTGGAAGGTAAGGAAGCAAAGAAAGGTGTATCAAAGGGAGTCATGGAACAGAACAAGTGTTGGAGCTGTTAAATTGATCAAGATCATATAAAATTAGAAACCTCCTTCCCTGGTGGAATTTGTTGAAAGTACAGAACGTTACAAAGTATAGAGAGCGACGCAATTTTTGACTTACATGGCTTTATAGGGTGTTCGGTGATCAGTGAATGTGAATGCAGTCCAAAAAAGCTAGGTATGCTCAGGAGTGACTAGTGCATCAGGGAAATATGTCCGAACTATGCACAGTACAGTAAGCATACGTTACTGCTAGTACTGGCAATAAGAAACCAACGAGGGTGAAAGGATATCTCACATCAAAGGTTGAGTGAAACAAACTATACTAAGAAAAAATAAAGTGACTGTCACTAAAGGTGTAGATTTGGTCGTTGAAAGAATGACAAAATGAGAATCGAGGAAAACTAAAACTTACAAAGGCCGATAATTTAAGATTATTGCTAGAAAATTTCGGGAAATAGTTAGTCAGCTAAGCGAATGGGGTAGGCTCAAAAGCAATGGTCAGTATGGGCCCAGTTCCAACTATCCCCTGACAACTCTGGTATGATTTTTCATGTTCAAATATATTCCACTTCAAAAACGGTAAACATTGAATAGTTCTGATATGCCATTATTGACCATGAAGACATCAACTATAAACTAATTTAATTAATTAAACGCAGACAACCCACGAAAATTCATGCTGGAGACCTTATGCCGGCTACGAGAATCCAGAGGGCTACAATGTGAACCGCCATCGTTATTTACTCAGAAAAATGCCGAGGCAATATTTGATATGCTGGACCCATGTGAGAAAAGGGCGATATCATATAAACAATACTGCCATGCGCTGGAAACACTTGGTATCACGAAGTATGACACAAAGTCAACTGGAAGCAAAAATGACGAAATATCAAAAGAAGACTACCTCGAGGAAGCGTAAGATGCGTTACTCCATCATCGCTTACTTTTAGAATGCAAGGATTGTATAAATTGGCCAAGACATATAAAAGATAGTATGGTTTAACTTCGAGCATTGCATTACCAGAAACTGAGGTTTCTGATTAACCACTTATGTTTTGTAAAATCTGATATACTTGGAAGTGTTGAACACAAGTTGAAGTGAAACTAATATCTTCAAGGAGCTTTTTAAGACAAGATGCTCTCTCCAAACGCTTCATTCCACCAGTAACCCAGTCTTATGAAACGACCTGAAATGAAACCGAAAGTGCCTAACGCTTCACCGAGCACAAACCAGGTGTCAGTACATGTAATTCACGTTGCTAGTGGCTCATAGTCATAGGCACGTGCAGGATGTTCGGAAAGCACTAGTTCATCCTGCTGGTTGAAGAAACTCAAAAACGAGCAAAGTTATCAGTCCACAACGACAAATGATTTCATTGTGGTGCGGTGGTTCGTGTTTATCGAATTAATGAGCCACGATAAGTGTCCCTTTCCAACGACTCTGAGTTCGAATATCAAAGTGCGCAAATGTTAGTCAGGAAAAGTCTCCGTGATTAGATTATAGTTAATCCTGCTTTCGACCTGAAGCTCAACCACAGCAGAGAAGGGGTGGAAGATTAAAAGCCCAATTTCACTGGTATGGGGAATGACCCATGTGTTGTCTCTGCTGCTAACGAAGAACATATACTCTTCACTGATTTGGTATCGTTGGCCGAATTTTTGTAATTTACAAACCTGGACCTGTTATCGTAAAAATAGCAGAAGCACATACCAGTAGTCAAGTATATCAACTGGGGGCTCCGTAACAATGTCCACTAAAGGAACAGATTCATCACTTCGGTAGGTCACAGTGTGCAGTCAATCATTTAGATAGGGATTCCCAAGAAACTTCATTTTCCAACGCTGGAGCGTAATAAAGAAAACTAAGGCCACCACATTTTCAGTGAGGTTAGTAACCAACCCAAATGGTTTTTCAAACCAATGATTCTAATTCCAACGGTGGCTTTAAAATTTGTCACTTTAAAAATAGAGAAGAAACAACTAGCGCTGCTTTTACTCCGCCTCCTCGGAGGCGACTGGGCGGTTCACCTTTAATAAACTCACTTATGACGAAACCGCCGAAATGTACCTCTCTTGATCCCAGCCAAATTCTATTCACCTTCGATGCATCTCCCTGGTCAGTGCCAAAGGGAACGATATGACTCAGGGCGCTCACGAGTTGCGGAGTGCTTTTGGTGCAACTACTAAATACATTACACACAAGTAGGGTGTAGTCAATGACCAAATATATGCGGTCTGACCGTGTGACCAAGTCAGTTAAAAGAAATGCTGTAGGCGAAGAGCTTTCATTTCTTAGGCTAACATCCACCACGACGGTATCCAGTAAGTCAACGAACATGGCTTGAATCACAATTTCACCTACACACTAAGGTGGGTTGCCTAGAAGAATCAGAAAATTGAAGAAGGATCGCTTAAAGTTAGCATTTTTATTGACGACCGCTTCCCTAACTTTGCACAAAATGCAACCTATGTATCGGTGACAGTGCTTTGCAACACAAACGCACGGCGTCACTTGGACCTCATGGGAAGCCTCGGGTGTAGCGGAAGAAGTGATTGAAGATGAGCGCGTTCCATGGCCGGTATACCCAATATAATGAGTACCTCCGACGACAATATAGCCAATTTCACCGATTAGTTAACTAAGATTGGCTATCGCTTAGAGTAGAGTGTTGATTGGAATTCAGTAGACGATGGTACACAAGATAGGCACTACGCCAACGTAAGGTCACCAAGTCGCAATCGGTAGCGGCCCCAAAAGTTTAGGCATACTTTCGGACCTTATTGGTTTGGAGTGTGAGCAGTTCCCGCAAGTCATCCGTTACTAGACGTCATGTGATCTCTAGTGCGATGAGATAACACTTTGCATAGCATGTCAGATTGAGAACGTCTTCGACTTGAGGCACGTGCGCGAAATGACCAGCAGAGGGAGGATTGATGAGTTGACTTGTCTTAGCGATCTCCGTAAAGGAAGTGTTAGTTGTCCGAAATCTACGCCTATGCAACTTGGCACGAACAGACAGTGTTATCCTGTACTACCGCCCATAACTTAGGATCCGATGAAGTTTGTACTTGTGCACATCGAATGGCAACGTATCCTAACCTGATAAAAACAATGCCGCTGCACTGCTCTTTGAAGTACCATGCTGTCGTCTAACAACTGGGTCGCCTGCGACATGGTGATCCTGCCAGTACTGAGTAGACATTCTTGGGGAATCGCCGTCACCAGCTCGTTTATGAACGCTAGCAATAAGCGTGACCATTTAGCCTAACACGTTATATACCACAGTCAGCTTGAATCGAATCGGCCAGGGATCTCCAGACTAGTACCTTCAAATGCTGCTGGTTCGCCAGTACCATAGTTGCGGAGCTTAGTGGGAGGAGTAGGTTGTGATCGAGCCCCACTCGGACTTTAACTGCTTCGGCCAAGCTGTTGCGTGCAATCAGCGGGTCTGTGTTACACGATCGGTGTTAACGAAAAGCATGTTGCTCTGGTGAGATGACAAAGCAGACTTTCAGATGTTCCATCTATACGGCCGGAGTTACAGTTTTTATGAAAGCAGATAGTCTAAGGACTGTGTTATTGGGTATTAATGAGCAAGAACCACAGTCTGGCATGCAGTCAAAACACAAAGTGAATACAGTGGAATGAGTGACACCAATTGGCCTGCTGGAAAGAGGTATTCTCAAGGTTGTTTAGAAGTACTTACGTGTTGGTGAAAGATTGTTAAATATGGGCATGTTACAACTCGAACAGCGAAATTAGCATGACCCGCTATAGAAATTAGGTTGGGGAACATTCAGACTGCTGCTAAGAAGTATAGCCAAAGCAAACTCCCATTTGGCGTTTCCAATTTTTCCCAATCCAGCGGTTGCTGTTGCTCCAATCGAAAACGCCTTGAATCTTTTCGGATTAGGATAACGGTGCCTGTCAGGATTGACAACTAAAAATGTAGGAAAACCAGTAAATATTTGATCAGAGGTATGGGCGCAGAACTGAAACTCGGCCAATCAGTACAACTGTTTCACTGGAAAACACAAACCTTGGATACCGGTTCACTTCAGGGGCTTCCTAATAGAGTCGAAAAAGTCGAGTTATGTTTGGTTCACAGTTCAATCTTCAACTGAGTTAAGTGTTAACCTTCAAAGGCACCACAGCTGAGTTCGTACAAGGAAGTTGCGTTAGGATTCGTACCCTGGAATCAAACGAACACGAACGGAATCCCTCACTAGATTTATGCAATTGTACATTTTGAAGGATATATACGTAAACCACTGAAATTACTCAAAGTAAAAAACAATTGGAGCACAATAGAAAGAAGTTATATAAGGACGGACGCGTAGTGCCTGCGCTCCCATTTTCCCGGCCTAGTCACCGTACGTTCATTCCAATTGGCTTTACTAGCTATAATCATTGAACACCCACACATGGAGTCAATTTCTACGATTCACGGTTCCAGCAACAAACGCACTATTTTAAAGGTTCGCGTGCTTAAATTTACACACACAACTTCATCGCTTTTGAGACGATGCCACATCTGTGCGACACCGTTGGACACAGTAACCTCGAATCCTCTCCAGCGATTCAAAGCATATTCCAATACGGCGTTCCGTAATAAGGCCGTGGTAGGATTTGTGCACTTTTATTCTGGGTATATCATTTGCGTTCAGGTTCATTTATAAGCTCCTGCTCAACCAGAGCCAACATCGATAGACCCATCAACCAACAAGGTGTGCGTCTTTGTCTGACCAGCGAGTGTAGTCGAGCGACTGCGCATACACTTGACGCGACCCTTGAAATGTTAGACGACTGACTGACCCTACAGCCTGCGCTAGACCATGTAAGTGCACTTCATCCGTGAACATGGTCTACCCCAAAGGCAAATGCGAATTATACGCACGATGGGGCGGACGTGCCGCACCAGTTCTAGACCATTTCCTTCTAAATGTGTGGCGCTAACACCACCCGAAGCGATGTAACAAAACAGCACAGCTGAAGCGTTTTGATACTATCAGCTATGCAAATTCATCCCTGTTGTCAACTGCATAACTGTGCTAATGAAAAAGTGTGAAGGGCTTATGGCACGACGGTTGTGAGCTATATATAAGATACGTGGTTAAACATCCAAACGAAGCTGAGCGGGAAAATAACAAACAGACTAAGAACAGATTTATTAAAAGTGAAATAAGCTAGATAACGCTAAAAATAAAGCACCGAACGGGTGCGGAGTGCGAAGATGGCTGGAAGTAGGGGGTCGCGTCCGTCCTGGGAAGGCGGATGCGTGTGTCTGACTCAAACGAAGATGAACAGCATGCTAACAAGAAAGCCTCCTAAATCCCTAACGCATAGAAAATTATAGGTTTAGAATATTCGGAATATTTTACACGACAAACCGCAGGCAAACAGTGGAATCTCTAAGTCACTACAGACTGAGGGAAACAACTGGATGACTGGTGAACGCCAGGGTGGCATCTCTGGAAGCTACGCTTGCATTCTAATAAACAAATATAAATGGCCTATTCAGGAAAGAGAAAAAGCCAGGTGCCCCAACCTCACTTCAGTGTCTCTTTCTTCAACTATCCCAACGCACTTTACTCTGTTAAGCAAACAAGTCGTTTACAGCCTGCTTGCTTCCACTTAGTTGCCAAATCGGACGCTCAAAGCTACAGACAGTCCACGGTAAAGGTAACTGGACATGGTCCGCCTCGGTTGAATTCCGAAAAATGCTGGAAAAAACACCGGTGACTTCGCTTACCGGAGTGTACAAATCTGAAGTATCGCAGCATGGATTACTATTGCCGGTGTCACCCATCAATACACAGAAAACAATAGAACCACGTACTCATAAGTCGATAGCCACTAAGCGCAACCATGATGCCTTAAGCCTTGCGTGTACCAAGGTTCCCGAATCCAACTCCAATACAATAATGGGTAAGCTAACAGACGATCGTAATCAATAAGATTCAATTGTTAGCGCGATTTAAATGCGCTCTGAACTCACTGAATTCAGGTCTATCGCGCAACACTCAAACTCATCGCAGTATGGTGAGCCTCGATTACTACAAACAACACTAAGTTCTACGGACAAGACGGAGGCCACTAGGTTGTCTATGAATCTACAGTGGCACGGATGGACGGACGGTATATTTGCACAACCAACCAACCGATGGTGAGTGAAACGACAAGTAAAAATAGCACGAGGTATACGTTCATTGTTGAAACGTACAGGCTCGGTAGGCTGAAAATGGA